GTGAATCTGTGGGGTAGGCATTTAGAAACCACAAATGGAAATCCCACAAAGTGACCACGAGGTGGCGCCTTTTAGCTGTAGAAAAACAGAAAGACTGACATAACCCCCCTGGAAATTATGCCCCTCTGCTTGATTTCAGTTTTGCTGCCAAAAGTGGCCAAATCAGTTGTTAGCTTTAAGGGGCAATTACTTGTTGTCATGGGGCCAGGTATGTTTTTCCCTTAATAAATGAAATAATCATTTTAAATCATTTGTATTTCCTTGGGTTGTCTTTGTCTAAAAGTTTGATGACCTGAAGCATTTAAGTGTGTCAAATATACTCAGGGGAAAATACTTCGTAAATTATAAATTGTTACTACTTGTTAGGTCAAATTTACAAAGAGAACCTAGCAGCTCAGAGGAACAGAAGAAATATTTCATTTACACAGTCTCAGCAGGTTTGAAAAAGAAGTTAATGTTGGGTGTTTTATCACAACATTAGGCAGCTTCATAAATCACTGTCTTGTTTAAAGACATCTCATCCTGGTGGTATTTATGAGAAAACCGCCGAAACATTGTCTAAACATATCAGATACTTTGGAAATCATTCTAGGTCTTGGAGGTAATTTGTCATTGAAGATACTTTAAGTGCTACAGCAGTGGGTGAGTCTGCATTTTGGAGTGATGGTAAACATTTGCAAAAACCCTTTGTGGGGGACCATGAATACCAACTGTCAGAGCACTGTGGACCAAAGAGTTGGACGGTTCACTAAGCATCTCAAAAACAGCTCCAAGTTGAAGCATATTACTGTACTGGCATGCCTCTCATTATCCCAACTGGAGATGAGTCTGATAGCCTCAGCACATGCCTCAAATGATTAGTGTATGGTACAGTGCTTTGTGATATTGTCCTTTACATAATGTTTCAGTCAAACCGGGCATGGGGCTCTGTTGCCGGTTACTGGTCCATGCTCTGATGGCCTGCTGGCCTGTGTCCAAACCTGCAAATACAGCTTCAGTGTTGTCCCTCCAGAGACAGTGGCCCTTCTATTAAAACCACTTATAATCTGCACATAGTGTCTGTTTTCTACTGTATTGGCAACACTGTAATAATCCGTTTGAAGAATTTTAAATAAAGGATCTGCAAATGACCTTAGCTCTTCTCAGAGTTTAATTTGACTCAGTCAAAGTGCATGCCATTATAAAAAGAAAACAACAACAACAGCACCATACCATTTGTTTCAGGAACATTAATGAAAGCAAAGCATTGGCTACCTCTCACTGAAACTCCTCTGTGAGTTAGTGACCGCCCACAACTCTTTCTACAACTACTGGGTTGGATGTATCACTCGCGCCTTTAACGCAGGACTGCTTAGCTCCCTCTGAAAGACGGACCATGGGTTGGAAGGAGCAAGGCTGGATCGCTTGTCTGAGTTTTCTCGGATTTGTGGTCTCGGTACAGAGCATAAGTCGAGACGAGCTTTTTCCTTTTGGTCCGAGCGCAAGAGACCAGTTACTGGAGCCAGGGAATGATCAGACGTACCGACTGGATCTGAGCACCCCGGTGTTGTTTTATGATGGCACTTTCG